CGCCTGGGCGCTCGATGCCAGGGAGGCCCCCTGAACAGGACGTTTCTGTCCCACAGGCAGCTCTCAGCGCCCCACATCCCACACACCGGGCTGCGCAAGTCAGAGCCCCTCATTTTCGAGGGCCGAGGCATTCGGACAGATGCCCAGTCTCCAGGACCAGCTGCAGGGAGAAAAGAACCAAGCCTGCCCGTTGGGTTTCACGGGACTCGGTCGGCCCCATGCACAGACCTGAAGGTGAGAAAGGGAGACCTGCCCCCCGAAACCGAAGGTGCAGGCCAGGCCTGCTAGAGCCGGTCAGAGAGCACGGGCGGAGTCACGGCAGGCAGAGGAGAGGCGCGAATCTTTATTGGAACTATTTTGTTCCAAGCATCACGACATGCACGTTTTCAGGCGGGCTTTGCTATAGCCAGTGAACAGATCACATTCTAATTTTTAAGATTAGAAGACTCATGTTCAGAAGTGAAGTCATACTTCTAGATGTCCATTTTTCCATCCATTCAGCCACCCAGGGTTCTATCCGTCTATCATCTATTTATCCACCCATCTATGCATCTGTCCATCTATCCATCCACCCACCTCTCCATCCATCCATCCACCCACCCACCTATCCATCCACCCACCTATCCATCCACCCACCTATCCATCCATCCATCCACCTATCCATCCATCCACCTATCCATCCTTCCACCTATCCATCCATCCACCCACCTATCCATCCATCCATCCATCCATCCATCCATCCATCCATCCATCCATCCATCCATCCATCCACGCTGGAGTCACCGGAGGCCGTCTGGACGTCCCCGACAGTTAAGCTGTTATCTGTCACAAAGGAGAGGGTTAACAAGGTTGAAAGGGAAATGCACGAAGATGCCCTGCGACGGCATTTACGACGCCAAATTCAAAAAGGGAAACAGAGAAACGGACCGACCAAAACGGATTCTGGCTTGGCGGCCAGGGCCTAGGGCCCTGGACTGCGGTCCGGCTGCCGCATCCTCGCTGGCCCTTGGCACCCGCCTTGTCCATTCTCGGCCTCCCTTTGAGGGGCTGCAGTTGGGGTTTCTCCCGCAGCCCCCCGGAGGTCTGGAACGGAAAATGACACCAAGGCCGAGGACTGCTACCTCGGTGACGCGCAGACACCGCCCACCGCCACGGCTTAAGAGCCAGGTTCTCAGGCGGGGCCGGCCACGGCCTCCCTGAGCGACATCCTCTCGCTGGGCCAGCAGCCCCGCGGTGTGTCCCAAACCCGGGGCGGTCGGCGAGGGCGTCCTCCTGGCGGGCGGAACCAGCTGGGCTCAGAGACCAGAGCCGGTTCCGGCTCCGGGGAAGCTCTGGGAGGCGGGGACTAGAGCGGGGACTGGTGGGGGGGACAGCAAGACTCACCGTCAGTGAGCCACGGTGCCTCGCTAAGCCAAACAGCAGAGTGACAGTAAAACACAGGGCATCCCAGGCTCAGGGGCCCCCGTGCCCCCCAGAAGCTGGCTTCATGGGGAAAACGGCATCAAAGAGCACATCAGGACGTCAAGTCACCGCCGCAGGCCGGGAACCTGTGGGTCCTGAACCGTGAATGTCACGCGACGCCCGCTGGGCCCTACGGGGGACCCGGCCTGCCACGGCGCAAAGCTGGCCCGGGCACGACACGGCACAGCAGGGCACGGGGCGGCCGTGGGGGCCGCGACACCCAGCGCTCTGCAGCAGACACCTGCAGCGTTTGGGCCTGCCGGGCGCTGCGTGGGAGGGCTGACTGTGCGCTGATCTGCACTATCTCTTTGGGGCCCAGGCACCCCCATGTTTGAGGAGTGACGGAGGAGGAGAGGGGGTGGCACGTGTGTCCCTGGGTCTGGGCCGGGGCCTCGAGGCCGCCTGGCTGTCCCGTCTGACTTGGGGAGGCTGGCGGGGAGGGAAGGCCACCCACCGAGATGGCTCTTTCATTCAGCTTCAGACGCTGTCACGGAGGAGAACCCCGTTTAAGAGTGAGTGAACGAGGAGCTTAGAAAGCTGGTTTTTACGGCTGGCTCCACGGCCTCAGTCAGAAGGCTACACAACCCTGTGACAGGAACCAGGGGGGCGACCCCCTCAGTGGAAAATCCACACGAGGCTTTCGACTCCCCCAAAACTTACGTGGCCCCTCGGTATCTGCAGGGCACTGGTTCCCGTAGATACTGAATATTCTAAATTCTTCCCTGGGATTTAACGCCTAACCTAGCTCACTTTAGGGGGGACGCTGGGGAAGGAGGCGGTGAGGCCGGCTCCCCCGACTCGGTTCTGTCCCAGCAGGAGGCTTAATGTCAGGGTCTGTCCTGCAGGAATTCTAACTCCGCACACGGAGTTTGCGTTTGTCCCCTCCTGGCAGAGACGAGGGCTGCTGTGCGACATCACGGCTTGGTTAAATGTCCCCAGTGGTTGGGTTCTGGGCAGTCACATGGGGACTTGGTGAAACGCCCCCCTTGGGGCAACCTACAGGTCGCTATTGCGTCTTCCTTGACTTCTGCGGGGCGGGGCACCTGTGGGGAGGGAGACTCGATGGGAAAAGAGGTCGCTGAGATGGGGACTTGGTTTATCTGCGAGCACCTCAGCCAGCACCGCTCCCCACAGGGCGTGAGCGCAGACGCTAATTGTTTACTCCGGAAATTCAGAGGGGAGAGGAGATGAGGCAAAGGGGTGGCCGATCTGAAGTCGGTCTTAGAAATACTCACTTCTCCCTGGCATAGTTTTAACTTTCTATTGCACGAAATCTCACACGTATCCCAAACACGCGGAATCCCGTGCTGTGCCTCATGCGCCTGACGCTTGGCTTCAGGTGCCGGGTGGTGGCCGATATGTGTATTTTTTAATCTGAACTCCCTCCCGCTACCCCCTTTCTCCCTATTATTTATAAGCAAATCCAAAACGTCAACAACCACCTTCTGTAAATGTCTCTGCATGCATTCAGAAATGGTAAGGACTTTTTTTTTTAGGCTTGATAATGGCGTTGTGGTTATGTTAAAAATATTCCTTAATACCATCAAATATCAAGCCAACGTTCAAAATTTCAGTTGCCTCATAAATGTCAGTTTAATTATTTTCACATTTGTGTTTGAATCCGAATTTAAATGTTTCACACAGTATGATGGGCTGATATTTTTTAAGTCTCTTTCGCGAGTTTTTCTCTTTGACGCTTATCTGTGAAAGAAACATTCCTGCGTCTTTTGTTGTACGACTTTGCTGTTATATTTCAGCTCGAGGAGAGTGAAGGGGACGTTTCTGGGTCCCGTGTCTGCTCCCGGGCTTTGGACAATGTGGCTCCTCGGGATTTCTCAAACGGGTCAGCAGAAGAGCCGCCGGGGTGTGGGTGCCTGGGCCGTCCTTACTCGTGGTGACAGTGCGCATTTCACCTGTCACCGTCTGGAGTGGACACACGTGTGATCCCCAGTGTCTCGGAAGAACTTCCGAAGACGAGGGACGGGAACAGCCCCGAGGGGACCGGGGAGCTGCTCCGGGAGCCCCCGATGGCAGGAAACGCGAGCCGAGTGCCCGCTGTGCGCCGGGGGCTCGGCCGGTCCTTCGTGTGGATTGTCACCTGCGTTTATTGTTCGCTTTAGGGGAACAGAACGATGTAACCCAACTGTCTTTAAATAGCCACGAAGCATTCAGCCCTCTCCCAATACTCTGACGGTCCATGGAAACGGCCATGAAGGAGTCATTTGCTGTCACCTCTTGTACCTTCCGAATAGTGGTCATTAGCGGTCGATTCGTCCACTCACTTGGGAAGATAGGAGGAAGAGATATGGGCCGAAATCAGCATTAAAAGGTCAAAGGCAAGGCGTGCGCTTCCTGGAACAGTGAACTGTACCGGCCACTGACTGAGAATCGTTTCGAAAAATCTGAATAGAACGCATTTTAAAGGTCAGCAGAAAGGGACCGAGAGCCGCCAAGGCCAAGAGCAGCCGAAGGGTCGAGGTCCGGAGGGAAGGGAGACCCGGGGAGCGGGCCCAGCATCCAGCTCGTCCTCCCTGAGAGGCCGAAGCAGCCGAAACCCCGAGGGGCTGGGGGGCCACAGACGGAGCGCAGCCCCCCGGAGAGGCGGGGCGGCCGGACACCGGCCTGCGCTCCCGGCAGGAGACCCAGGCGGCTCTCCAGACGCTTAGACCTCCCCTCCCCGCCCATCACGCGACTGCGGAGGGCGACGGTACCGTCTGGAACCTCAGACAGCCCTAACCCACCGAGGCCCAGGAGAAAAGCTATGACGGCCACAGCCCCGGGGAAGACACAGGCGGAGGTGTCAGCGCAGACGTTCGCAACCCCGACCGAAGTGCTGAAGATCGCCATGGCGTGGACGAGCTGCACAGAGGGTAGAACGGAAGCGCCGCGCTCGGGGTTCGAGCGGCTGGCCGAAGAAGTCGTCGGTGGGTCTGAGAGCAAATCAGACGTCCGGAAGGGGAGC